CAATGTAATCCACCATATAAACAAACTGAAGGAGAAAAACCACATGATCATCTCCTTAGATGCCGAAAAAGAATTTGACAAAATCTAACACCCATTTATGTCTAAAGTCTTGGAGAGATCAGGGATACAAGCACATACGTAAACATAGTACAGAAAATATACAGCAAGCCTATAGTCAACATCAAACTCAATGGAGAGAAACTTAAATTAATCCCACTGAAATCAGAGTCAAGGCAAGGCTGCTAACTCTCTACGTATCTCTTCAACATAGTACTAATTCAACTTCAGTCCTAGTGAGAGCTGTAAGACAACTAAAGGAGATCAAGGGATACAAGTCAAAAAGAAAGAAGTCAAATTATCACTATTTGCAGATAATATGATAGTACATATAAATGACACCAAAATTCAACCAGAGACCTCCTTCAACTGATAAATACCTTCAGCAAAGTGGTTGGATTTAAAATAAACTCAAAAATAAAATCAGAAGCCCTCTTGTATACCAAAGAAAAAAGGGCCGAGAAAGAAATTAGGGAAACAACACTCTTCACAATAGCCACTAATAACATAAAGTACCTTGGTGTGACTCTAACCAACCAAGTGAAAGACCTATTTGAAAAAAACATCCAGTCTCTAAAGACAGAAATTGAAGAAGATATCAGAAGATGGAAAGATCTCCCATGATCATGGATCAGTAGAATTAACATAGTGAAAATGTCCATTCTGCCAAAAGCAATGTACAGATTCAATGCAATTCCCATCAAAGTACCAACACAATTCTTTACAGACTTTGAAAGAAAAATTCTCAACTTCATATGGAGAAACAAAAAACCCAGAATTTCCAAAACAATCCTGTACAACAACATATCATCTGGAGGTATCTCCATCCCTGATCTCAAGGTGTACTACAGAGTAATAGTAATAAAAATGGCATGATATTGGCATAGAAACAGAAAGGACGATCAGTGGAACTGAATAGAAGACCCAGAAATAAACCCATGTACCTATGAATACTTCATTTCTGACAACGAAGCCAAAACCATTCAATGGAAAAAAGACAGAATCTTCAACAAATGGTCTAACTGGATGTCTACATGCAGAAAAATGAAAATAGATCCATATTTATCACTTTGCACAAAACTAAAGTCCAAGTGGATCAAAGACCTCAACATAAAATCAGACACACTAAACCTGTTAGAAGGAACAGTGGGGAAGAGCCTAGAACTCATTGGCACAGGAAACAACTTCCTGAACAAAACACCAATAGCACAGGCTCTAAGAGCAACAATCAATAAATGAGAACTCATGAAACTGAAAAGCTTCGGTAAAGCAAAGGATACTTGTCAGAACAAAACAACAGCCTATAGACTGAGAAAGGATCTTCACCAACCCTATATCTGACAGAGGGCTAATATCCAGAATATATAAAAAACTCAAGAAGTTAAAAAGCAACAAATCAAGTAATCCAATTAAAAATGGGCTAAACAGAGCTAAACAGAGAATTCTCCATAGAGGAATATCAAATGACAGAGAAACACTTAAAGAAATGTTCAATGTCCTTAATCATAAGGGTAATGCAAATCACAATGACCCTGGGATTTCACCTTACACCCATCAGAACGGCTAAGATCAAAAACTCAAGTGACAACACATGCTGGACAGGATGTGGAGAAAGGGGAACCCTCCTCCATTGCTGGTGGAAATGTAAACTAGTACAACCACTTTGGAAATCAATCTGGCATTTTCTCAGACAATTAGGAACAGTGTTTCCTCAAGATCCAGCTATACCACTCCTAGGCATATATCCAAAAGATGCTCAAGTACACAACAAGGACATTTGTTCAACCATGTTTGTAGCAGCTTTATTTGTAATAGCCAGAACCTGGAAACAACCCTGATGTCCCTCAACAGAGGAACGGATAAAGAAATTGTGTTACATTTCCACAATGGAATAATACTCAGCAATTAAAAACATGGAAATCATCCAATTTGCAGGCAAATATTGGGATCCAGAAAAGATTATTCTGAGTGAGGTATCCCAGAAGCAGTAAGACACATATGATATATACTCACAAGTGGATACTAGACCTATATGATAAGATAAACATACTAAAATCTGTACACCTAAAGAAGCTAAACAAGGAGATTCCGGGGTAAGGTGATCAATCCTCACTTAGAAAGACAAATGGGATGGACATTTGAAGCAGTCGAAAACAAGAAACAGGACAGGAGACTACCATAGAGGGCCTCTGAAAGACTCTACCTAGAAGTGTATCAAAGCAGATGCTGAGACTCATCACCAAACCTTGGGCAGAGATCAAGGAATCATATGAAAGAAGGGGAAGCTAGTAAGACCTAGAGGGGACAGGAGCTTCACAAAGAGAAAAACAACCAAAATATCTGGGCCCAGGGATCTTTTCTGAGACTGATTCTCCAACCAAGGTCCATTCATGGATGTAACCTAGAACCCCTGCTCAGATATAGCCCATGGCAGCTCAGTCTCCCAGTGGGTACCCTAGTAAAGGGAACAGGGCTGTTTCTGACATGAACTCAGTGGCTGTCTCTTTGACCACCTCTACCCTGAGGGAGGGGCAGCCTTGCCAGGCCACAGCAAAGGACACTGCAACCAGTCCTGATGAGACCTGATAAGCTAGGGTCAAATGGAAGGGGAAGAGGACCTCCCCTATCCGTGGACTAGGGGAGGAGAATGGGAGGATATGAAGGAGAGAAGGTGGGATTGTGAGGGAATGAGAGAGGGAGCTATAGCTGTGATACAAAGCGAATAAAATATATTTAATGTAAAAAAATTAATACAATAGCCTCAGGTGTCACATTTAGCATATTTCATTCAACAACAGTATAATCCACTGCTTCATTGATGTGACCACAATATGTTCAATATAAATTTTATTCTGTACCAATAAACAAACCTCAACAAAGTTAAAACCACTGAATATCTGTCTATGATTAAATCATTATTTTAAACAAAATTATGTTAGAAGACAGAGGAATGTCTTCAAACACTTTGAAGTTAAATAATATATTTCTCAATAATCCAAGAGTTAAAAGTTGGAAAATAAATAGAACTTAATGAAAATGACATATATCAGAAAAATACATAGTCTGTATATTTTAGAAGCACTAAGTGTTGAAAGTGCCAACTCTAGTAATATACAGTTCAAGTGAAAAGATGATTCTGAATAACTAGATCAAGAAGATGAGCAGTGAGCTAGCACAGTGGATCACACAATCTATCCCAGGACTGTGGAGCCTGAGGAAGGAGGACCATCACGCATCTGAAGCCTGATACAGAGAGACCTTGTTTCAAAAATGAAAAAATAGTCAAAAGAAAAAATAGAATTAATCCAAAGCCAACAAAAGCACAAAGTAATGCAATGTACTAAAAACAAACAAACAAACAAACAAACAAACAAATCTGAAAAACATTGAAACAACAGCTAACTCTTAAAAAATAAAGTTAAAATTAACTGGATACTAGCAGATTAAGAAAAAAGGGAAAAGAGAAGATAAAAACCAGCAATGTCACATGTCATTACAATAGGGTAGCCCTTAAAGAGTTAAACAAAGCACAGGAGCAAGTGGACCATGATTATCTTAGGAGATGACAAAGAATTATTAAACTAAAGTGAAAAATCTTAGAGGTGTGGTGGCACACAGCTTTAACCTCAGCACTTTGGAGGAGACAGGAGGATCTCTGTGAATTCCAGGCGTACACAGAGAGACTCTTGCCTCCAAACAGCAACAAACAAAACCAAAACCTTCATAATTAAAAGTCCGGAAAATTTTTAAAAAAGGAGGTAGTTTTCTTAGCTTGATATATTGTCTACTCAGAGCACAACAACGTAAACCTCATTCGTGGAGGCGAACCTTAAAGACAGCAACCTACATACAATTCCGTTGTTTTATAAAGCAGTATTTTTATTAATGTTCTACCTTTTAACTTTGTTTATATCATTTTCCTGTTGTTGAAAATGTACCCGCGTCTCACTTTATCAAAACACCTCTCAAGATTTATTTCTTTTTGCAAACATAGCCATTACTTTAGTATGCAGGCTTGTTTTCATATTTAACAAATAGTAATAGCATTTGAAAATTAATTTCTGTATGATTGATAATAACTTTAAGTGCTGGAATTGTGTGCCTGTTTTATACCTGCACCCCCAGAACTACAGATAAACTGGGGCAATGGGGAACCCACAAAAAAGTAAAAAGTAGGTTAGGATGCAGCACATTTTTTTAAGTTTTTGAGATTTGATTCATAATTTATAATTGTCAGTTGTCACCTGCTGCCCTATGTAAATGTGTAGTAGAAATGGAAGAATTATGTTTAGGCTCATTTTGGGGATTCTCTTCACAATTTATTTAACAAAATTTCAAAACTCTAATCATCAAGCCAAACAGCAATTAAAAAAAAAAAAACACCATTCCAACATAATACAATTCCTCGATATCCTAATTTGAAACTGACCACCTAAAGAACAATAGTAATAATTAAAATAATTAAAAGTCTTTGATTTTTTTAAAATTAAATCATCATGCTTTCATAAGAGCAAAGTGCCTATATGTACAGCAAGAACACTTCTGTTCATGACACATAACAGCCTTGAGTGTGAGCTGACTTGTTTCAGGCAGTGTTTGTGGTGTTAGACATGTAACAGGATGAAGACACACAAAGCAATAGGGGTGAGTGCTACCAGAACTGCCTCAGATCCGTTATACTTATGGTTTTAATGTTTGGTGAGCTCACCTTCAGACACCTTTTTCTGTCACCAAATCTATCGTGGCCCCCACAAGCAGTTCTATGACTCCATGTGGGATAGTGAGGCACAATCTAAGGATATAGGATCTAGATTACCTCCTCAGATTTTTAAAAACTTGTACATATGTCTAACACAAATTCGAACTAAAACTACATACAAAATTCATATGCTCAACATATATTCAACGTATCTATTATAATTCAGTCTTAAAGTTCTCCTTACCTTTATTGTCTGTCTGCTGGTCTGAAATCGTTGATCGGATATCTGCTGTTGATGGAGCAGCTTCTCATTTGCTTCTTTGTACTCCTTTGCCGAGGCCTCTGCGGCTTTCCTCGTATTCTGAAGCAAGCTAATCTGTTGCTGCAAGGACGTAATCCGTTCTCGTAGTAAAATAGTGTTACTACTTGGCTTCTGAGCAGGTGTATTTTTGCACTTTTCTCTGCTAACTGAATAAAAATACTACTGCTCATATTTTATAAAAATCAGCTTACATTTATAAATACATGGTTAATTTCTTATTACACTCTTACCTTGGACAGGAATCACTGTGTAGAAACTCTTCTGCACACTTCCACTCTTCTTTTGCAGAGTCATTTTCTTGGTATTCTTATAATGAGAAATATCCTAAATTTGAAAGTTCCAGAAAAACTGGTTATACTGAATGACATTGTCAAAGAAATTCACGTGTCACTTAAAGTATACTGAAGAAGCTAAAACCTGTGTAGACAACAAGATTCTATAATGGATTCCTTAATTAAAGACCTCAGATATAAATCTGAATTTATATTTTAATATGTATAATAAATTTAAAGTTGAACGATCAGATAAAAGATATACACAGAAAATCAACTCAAATAAAGTAGAATTTAACCTGAGGACAATTTAAAATAGTAGGAGCAAATTGAACAACAACAATAAAATATGGATATTTAATGAAGCAGTCTCTGGGAGTCTGGATGCTTTGCTTGGATATTTATCCTCTTCAAATACAGACATGGGACACTACTGGAAATTAAGCTGAAATAGTTATAATATAATAATTATAACATATTCTTCTTGCTCTCATGCTGGGAGAGATGGCTCCTCCCTGGGAGACCAAGGCATGGAGATCATCTCACGCTTCAGACCCATGGCTTATGTGCCATCCAAGCCAGCCTGGCCTTGGGGAGCTAAATGGGATGTCATGTGTGGCATTAGTCCTGTGCTTTTTTCCACTAGCGTCGAGACACCAGTCAGACTTCCTATGTTCCCTACAACTGGTAAACACCCCCCACCCCCAGTTGGTATCTAACAGTGAGATACTTGGGCTGTAGTTTCAGTTTGATACAAGTGGTAGTTACAGTTTTTCAAAAACTACCAAATGATTTTCTGCAATGCTACAGTGTTGCACTTCATAATCACACGGACAAAGTCAGTGCTCCAATTTTTCTGCCTCTTTGTCAGCTGAGTATTGTCATTATTTTCACTTAGCTGTCTTATTCTTATTGTGATCCTAGCCTGAGTTTCCTGAAAGGTTAGTGATGGTGAACATTGTTTTTATGCAGTTGTTTGCCACCGAAGTATCTTTTTTTTTTTTTTTTTTTTGGTAAACTGTTTGTTCATGACTTGCCCACTTCTTATCTGGATTGCTACATATTTTTTGAAATAACTTATTTAATTCTATTTTATGTGCATTAGTATGAAGGTGTCAGATCCCTTGGAATTGGCTTTACAGGCAGTTGTGAGCTGCCATGTGGGTTCTGGGAATCAAACCCAGGGCCTTTGGAAGAGCAGACACTGCTCTTAACCACTGAGCCATCTCTCCAGCCCCAGATTGCTACATATTTTTATGGTTAGAGTTTGAGAGTTCTTTACATAAATCAACACTTGAAACCCTTATTAGATACTGGGCACCAGCCACGCTTTCTAATCTAGTGTCTCACCTTCAGGAACTTTTGCTTTGCAAAAGTTGCTACTTTTAATAATAATATAAATTATGAATCTTGGTTTCCGTATCAGGTCTAAAGTTTCTTCATTCATCAAACCCTAGGTTCTGCAGATTTTCTCTTACATTACCTTCTAAGAGTGTTATAACTTAAATGTCACACTTTAATCTGTGATGCATCAAGCTAACTTATACATAACGTGTGAGGTTTAGGTATATATTCTTGTTTTTGCTTAGGAATAGCCAACTGACCCTGCATTATTTGTCGAAAAGACTACCCTTCCTTAATTAAAATATTTTTTTGTATTCATCAAAGATCAGCAGCAAAAAATTAAGCAGATTTACTTCTATATTCAGTATTTCATCATGCGGATAATAAAGCTTGCTGCCCACCTGGGGGATTGTAGTATCATCCCACTTTATAACTGAACCAATTTTGGGGAATGAGAATTTATGTTGCCCTCTGTGGGGCTAATAAAAACCCGTCTTTTTCTGTTTTGTAATTTTTATTTGGATCTTTCAATGGCTTTAATTCTTTGCTTTATTTTCTTAATTAACATGTTCTGCTTTTTTCACCTTGTAACCTGTCCATAATTACTCATTAAAGTGACAATTGGTTTAAAATGAATATCATATATATCATTTAATTCCATATTTACTGTAAGGCTTTTGTCTTTTGTTGATTGACTTTTCTTATACAAGCTGCAGTATTGTTGGTTCTTATTATGATGAGCGATTTCTAACAGTACCCTGAATATTTTGGGTACTGTGTGTGAAGACTAAATATTATTTGCATTTTGTTTGAGCAAACTTATCATATTACACTGTAGAGACAAGAGACACAACATCAATTATACAAGTTGAGAATGAAAGTCCAGTCTCTAGAGACACTGTAGTTGAGGATGGGCACATCATTACTGCTTTGCAGGGTAGAAGTTCAGGCTCTCCAATGGGCCTCTGCTGACACTGCTATAGTTTGAAGACAGAAAGAGCCTTGTTAGTGCTCTCACCTGGCCAACCATGACAACATGAGGAGGCTTGGGGGCTTGTTAGGTATGAGGTAATGAAAGTCCCCTTCTCTGTTTGGCTCATGAAACCACCCTGCTAGAAAGGAAGCCAGGTGGCGACAGATGTTCAGGACTTCTCTATAGTCTCCAGTGATGAAGAAGATGGAGTCATTACCATTTTCTCCCCTGTGGGTCCTCTTATACTTTATCCAAATTATCAGGAGCAGCAGCAAGAGGAGTTAACTCCTTAAAGGTAAATGACAAGAAAGTCTAGGTACCTAATAGGCCTTTAATGATGGAGGTGGAAGTGGAGTCATATGTGGTGTTTGGCTGATACAGGTGAGTTATTATGTAACATTTTCTGTCCTGTTAGGCTAATTCTTTCTTAATCCTCTGGATGGAAAGAGAATGGTTTAATTGGAGATTTTTACCGCCTTATTATTATTGTTTAGAAGTTACAGGTACCTCAGTGCCCTGTAAGCCAGTATATAAGGGACAACTCAGAGAATTCAATATCATGTTGAACCCCAAGTCCTAAGGTTCCGATCTATTGTTTTCTTTTCTTTTCTTTGTTTGTATCTGAGACTGGGTTTCTTGGTGAAGCCTTAGCTGTCCTGGACCTGCTTTGTAGACCAGGTTGGTCTTGAACTCACAGCAATCCACCTGCCTCTGCCTCCCTCAGTGCTGGGATTAAAAGTGTGTCTCACCACGCCTGGCTCCCCATCTAGTGTTTTCCTTTTCTTTTAAATTTCAGCATAGTTTCTATTAGTTTATGTCTATCTTCCTATCAAAACAAGGGGAAACTAATAAATTGGACCATATTAGTATATGCTATATTATTAAAAAAGCACCATCTAGGAGGGAAAAAGGTGTAGGAAAAATGACATATATATGCCTTTTGCCCTGTCTGTCTATCTATCTATCCATCTGTCTATCTAATCAACAAAATCCCATACCTGGCATATCCTACAGATAAGAAAATAAGATAATTTGCTTATAAAATGGACAGTGTAATACTAAATACTAAAGAAAGGACTCAATATCTTGGCAATCACAGAAAACTAAAAAAAAAAAAAAACCCTTAGTGGTAAACCTCAAAACACACAGAATGGCTGAAATGGGAAAGCCTACATACCAAGTGATTAGATATCTATAAGTTGCTGGTGGGTTCACTGAAGTGTGCTGTACTAAAGAAAATAAAAGGTACTAACTATAATCTCAGGAACTCACCAGCCACGACACAGTAATTCATGTTTGAGCTTTTAATACAGAAGTGTCCACATTTATGAAGCAAACAATGTACAAGAATATTCATTGCAACATTATTTCCAGGAAATCTGTAGTGAAGCCTCTCAAATTCCAACAGTATTGAATGACAATTACAGCATATTCAGACAACAAAATACTATTCATGAGACCAAAACTGAGTGCACTTTGAGTGGTAGTGAATAAAAGAAGCACGGTATCAGAGGCTTTTTATCCAATTTCATAAAGCTACAGGGAGAAAACTTCATTATAACTGGAAGGGAAGTAAAATGATAAAGAAAATTAAGTCAGTGAATTAAAGTCAAGATACTGGTCATTCCATGGATTTGGTGGGTAAGTCTGATGTTTTCCAAACACAATGGTAAAATTTGGTTATTTATTTTTTTATAAAATCATGTGTAGATTTAATCAAAAGGGTCTATATATGCTTATTATGTCAATGAGAACTTAAGTTTCTTCTTTTTACAAACACATTAGGCTTCACATTTATAATTACAACTAAGCAAAACAGCCAGTCAAGTAATATGCAGAAAAATAACAACAACGAGAAACTTTTCAAACAGTTAGGGTCTCTTCCTATGTAAATCAAGCGAGGCTGGCCTAGTAATGTTGATTTTCCTGCCTCCCATCCCAATAGTAATTTCTGTAGAAGCTAGCTATTTATCGTCAGTCAGGTAGCAGGAGCATAGAAAGAATAAACGGCTTTATGACAGGGAAATCTAACAGAAGCCCACATTTCTTTGTCATTTTTGATATTCTTAAAAACAATAATGAATTTATTATCACTTTATTATTTCCTTTGTTGGAAGTAACAATATCAAGATTTATAAGCATAGTGATTATTTTCATTTTATTTTTGCAAATATAGCAAATCATGTAAAATTATTCAAAGGTGAGAATTTTTGCTGTCTACCTTCAAAAAGACATCATTTTTAGGAATTCAAGTCTAATCAGTGAAAAATGTGTCACTTTAAATTACACAAGAGTAGAGCTAGTGTAGAGCTGAGGAGATCTATCGTACCTTCAGGGCCTTGCCATGCGAGGATGTCTGCATCTCTCTTTGTTGAACACAGCTCTCTTCTGTTTGGTCAGTTTCCTTCTGTTCTCCACCATCTTCTATAGGGCTTATTTTCTGTGATGTTTCCACAATAATTGTTCCCAAATTTTGAGAGGTTTGTGTTTCAGAATCACTGCAAAAAAAAAAATCCAAGATTAATTAGAAGAAGATATCAGAAGATGGAAAGATCTCCCATGCTCATGGCTTGGCAGAATTAACATAGTAAAAATGGCCATCTTACTAAAAGCAATCTACAGATTCAATGCAATTCCCATCAAATTACTAACACAATTCTTTACAGAACTTGAAAGAAAAATTCTCAACTTCATATGGAATAACAAGAAACCCAGAATTGCTAAAACAATCCTCTACAATAAAAGATCTTCTGGGGGGTATCTCCATCCCTGATCTTAAGCTGTACTATAGAGCAACAGTTATAAAAACTGCATAATACTGGCATAGAAACAGAATGGTGGATCAAGGGAACTGAACAGAGGACCCAGAAATAAACCCACACACTTATGGACATCTGATCTTTGACAAAGATGCCAAAACCACACAATGGAAAAAAGATAGCATCTTCAACAAATGGTGCTGGTCTAACTGGATGTCTACATTTAGAAAAGTGAAAATAGATGAATATTTATCACCCTGCACAAAACTAAAGTCCATGTGAATCAAAGACCTCAATAGAAAACCAGACACACTAAACCTGTTAGAAGAAAAAGTGGGGAAGAGCCTTGATATCACTGGCACAGGTGACAACTTCCTGAACAGAACACCAACAGCACAGGCTCTAAGATGAACAATTAATAAATGGGACCTCATGAAACTGAAAAGCTTCTGTAAAGCAAAGGACACTGTAGACAAGTAAAATAGCTTCACCAACCCTACATCTGACAGAGGGCTAATATCCAGAATCTCCACCTGGGGGGGGGGGGTGTAGCTATATCAGGCCACCGAGGAAGACAATGCAGCCTGTCCTGGTGAGACCTGATAGGCTAGGGTCAGATAGAATGGGAGGAGGACCTCCCCTATCAGTGGACTGGGGAAGAGAAATGGGAAGAGAAGAGGGAAGGTGGAATTGCAAGGGGATTAGGGAGGGGTCTACAGCTGAGATACAAAGTGAAAAAATTGTAATAAATAAATAGATAAATAAATAAATGCTCAATGTCCTTTTTCATGTGGGAAATGCAAATTAAAACGATCCTGAGATTTCACCTCATACCCATCAGAATGGCTAAGATCAAAAACTCAAGGGATGCATGCTGGAGAGGTTGCAGAGAAAGGGGAACCCTCCTCCATTGCTGGTGGGAATATAACCTTGTACAACCAATTTGGAAATCAATCTGTCACACTAGGAATAGCGCTACCTCAAGATCCAGCTATACCACTCCTAGGCATATATCCAAAAGATGCCCTACCATACAATAAGAACATTTTATCAACGATGTTCATAGCAGCTTTATTTGTAATACCCAGAATCTGGAAACAACCTAGATGTCTCTCAACAGCGTAATGAATAAAGAAAGTGTGATACACAATGGAATACTACTCAACAATTAAAAACAAGAAAATCGTGAAATTTGGAGGCAAATGGTGGGAACTAGAAAAGATCATCCTGAGTGATGTAACCCAGAAGCAGAAAAGCACATATGGTATATACTCACTTATAAGTGATTATTAGTCATACAATATTGGATAAACATACTAAAATCTATAGTCTTAAAGAAGCTAAACAACATGGAGGACCCTAGGGAAGATGTATAATCCTCATTCAGAAGTATAAACAGGATAGAGATCATAAGTATGATAAGACAAGGAACAGGACAGGTGCTTTCCACAGAGGACCTCTGAAAGACTCTACCCACCAGCATATGGAAGGTGATAGTGAGACTCATAGCCAAACTCTGGGCAGAGTGCTGGAAACCTTATGGGAGATAGAAAGACCTGGAAGGGACAGGAACTCCATAAGGAGAACAACAGAGCCAAAAAAAAAACCTGAGCCCATGGGGGCCCACAGAGACCAAAACTCTAATTAAGGACCATGCATGGAGAGGAGAGCACCTAGACTCCCTGTTCAGAGGAAAACTGTAGGCTGTTTAGTTTCTAACTAGGACTCCCTAGTAAGGGGTACAGGGACTGCCTCAGACATGAACTCAGTGGCAGGCTCATTGATCACCTCCGCCTGTGGATTGTAGCCTTGCCAGGCCACAAAGGAAGATGATGCAGCCAGCCTTGATGAGACCTGATAAGCTAGGGTAAGATAGAAGAGGATGAGCTCCTTCCCTATCAGGGCACTAGGGAAAGGGCATAGGGAGAGAAGAAGGTGGGTGGGTGGGAATGGGAGGAGACAATGAGTGGACCACAGCTGGAATACAAAGTCAATAAATTGTAATAAATAAATAAATAAATAAGTAAATAAGTAAGTAAATAAATAAATATTTAAAAACGTTTCTATCAAATTTACGTTGACCTACAATCAATCTTATATTCTCTCAGATATACAATGAGTTACCAAAAGCCCAGAAGACACATATGCGTAATATTTTATTAGCCATCTACCACTTACTTTTATGTCAAAGAGAAATAATAATTTGTGCCATCCCTCAGGTTTGTTCTATGTTTTGAGAGGTGACATATTTTGATGTTGTAATTTAAAAAAAAATATGTCTGGGTTGTCCAATTTCCTTAAGTCAGTCAATTAAAAAAAATCAACAAACATTGTGATACAAATCATAGAATATATTTTGCTAGTGAGTCTAATTCTGTTGTGTGAATTTTCGAGTAATAGAAAATAAAATAAAAATAGATTTTTTTTAAATTAAGAACAAACAAGTTTTGAGGTTGAGTAGAACTAAAAGTAACCTTTTCACATAGGTATATTTGAACTATTTTTATATAGACACATACTCATTGAGACATAGTTAGGAAAAAACTCATGGCTTGTCATAATTTTCCTAATCTAAATGATTTTGAGATTTTCTGCTGCCTTGGTCTCATGAACTTATTCTAGCTTATGCTAATGCAGTAACATTACAAGAATTCAAAGTCACATCCTAAGAACTGTACACTATTACTGGAGGCTAAAATTGTATATGTCTCTCTGGCATGTCCATTCTAAAATAGCCTCATACAGTATTTTTATATATAGACTATCAAATACTTATTTCTCCCAGAGTAGCTAACGAACTACTAGCACTTTGTACTAAAAGTAACCTGTCTGTCGTATAACCCTATCTTCCTAATCAACTGAGATCTTTGGAATTTATGATTCTATATTGCAAAGTATTTTCCACCACTTATATTCTGAAGTGTACCTATTTTCTGCATTTTGAATGCCATTTTAATGACCAAGTTGATAAACATGCTTTTTTCTCAAATGCACAGTTGTGTTTAAGGATGTTATACCATATGGGCTGAACAACAGATCTGCAGTAGACTACTTAGTATGAGCAAGGCCCTGTATTAGGTTCTCGATGCAGAGGGAGAAGAAAACAGACAGAGGTCAGCCTGGTACAGACTTCCAGAAATAAGTTGTGTGTGTGCACATACTCACACATGTGCATCTTTGTGAATGTGTGTTTGTATGTGTGTAGTATATATGTGCACACCTGCATGCTTGTGTGTCTGACAGTGGAAGCTTGAATTGACAGCCTGTGGTTTCCTCAGTTGCTCTTAACCTGTTTAGAGACTAGGTAGCTTACTGATCTTTGAGCTCACCAACTAAAAACTCTGTGGCTAGCAAGCTCTAGGGTCCACCTGTCTCTACATCAAACCACTCCCCAATTAAAGAGTTATATCTGTATGTCAAAAAACATAGCTTTTCTTGGGTGCTAAGGATCAGGAATTGTATAGAAAGTTGTTTCCTGTCTGAGTCATCTTCCCAGCCCCAATATTTCTTTTAAAAACATTTATGAATGGCTCTCTTATAATGTCCTAATAACTTATTTAGGCTTGGTTTAAACAAGTCTGTTTTGTAAGTCAGCATAGAAACTCATAAAATTTATAAATTCTTTCAATATTCTGAAAGTCAGCATGTCTGAATCATACCGGTAGACTCAACAACTTATTCTGTTATTTTATTAGTATTGTTACTTCTATTTGTAGTGTCCCCTTCAATTTGTCCAAAAATGATCAAGAATTCAACATGCAATGTCAAAAATGGGGAAAGTGGAATGATCATTATATGTAGTCATATATTTAGTGATAGAATAGATTGACAATATTTCTTTGAGGTATAGAAGGGGCAGTGTTTCATTTCCTTTATTTTTCTTCCATTAAGAATTCTCAGTATACACAGTATTTCATTTATGCAGGACACACTCACAGTTGAGAAACATCTACAATAGTTACCCCCAGAAGGTCCCTATTCTACATAAAGCAGACAATAAACACAATATATTTGAAAGGTTATACAGTCTGCTCTTATGAGGTAATAAAAGCTGTTGGAAAACCATTCTAAGCAGAGGACAAGGAAGAAATCCATAGTCCAACATACAAAATGAGAACAAAGTTGCAATCTGGAATAGAATGGTCTTTGGAGCAGTCTTAGAGAAGAGGCATAAGCTAAATGGATGGTTATAAAATGTATTCCACACAGAAGTTAGGGGCAAACTTATACAAAAGAGATGTGTGTCCCTATTTAGGAAAAAATTGGACAAATGATGAAGCGCACTGTCAGGATTGTAGTGATGGAGGTGGGTTGTATGTGTTTTTGGAAGGAAGCCATGATGATTTCCCAATTGACTGGATGTTGGGATAAAGACTGGACTCAAGGATGATTCCAAGTTTTGATTAGAATAAGTGAAAAAGGTGCCATCATTTAGGAATGGATTCTTTGTGGGGAAGCTCAGGAGTAAGGACTAGGAAATCAGATACAAAGCATGTAGTTAAACTGATTGTTAGCCTAATTAATCCTAAATTAAGAAGTGAGGAACACTATGTCTATTTCAATTTTTATAGTGGCTGTGATAATAACATTAATTAAAGATGTAAGGATTGCGTTAAATGCTATGAGATCACAAAAAAAATGTAGATTTTTAAAAGAGATGTCCAAAGATTTGACCTATTCAAAAAAAGTTGGGAGGGATAGAATAAAACAGTAAATGCACTGCAACTGCAACTGAATGT